AAAAAAAAAAAAAAAAAAAAAAAAAAAAAAAAAAAAAAAAAAAAAAAAAAAAAAAAAAAAAAAAAAAAAAAAAAAAAAAAACCCCGCTCAACGCCTCCTGCTTTAACCTGCTAAAAATACACTTTACAATTCTCTTGGCAATTATTACAAGTGCCGCATTGTTAGCCGTTAATGCACGCTGCGCGTCGATGTGCAAGGCTGCTGCTTTTCCAGCCTTGAGTTGCCGTGTGCGCGCTGCGTCCCCACTTAATTAAGATAATCCGAAAAGTCGTTTAATTATCTCTCGGCTCGAACCTAACGGATGCACAAACGCTTCAAACATCGTGACGCACCTGAAGCCGAAAAGACGAAGCTCCAGACTTGGCCAATTAGCGAGAGCGACGTGTGTGCGTCGTTTCCCCTCGGTTCGCTCGTTTAATTTCATAGGCGCGTCCCGTCCCCCGGGGCCTTTGTGCACCCTCACGTGCGGCAACGTTTCGCGACATCGTACGTCATAACTCGCTCCCCTGTTCGACGGTTATTAGTGGCGAGCCTGAGGGATCGGTCCGACCTCGTCAATCGTCCCGCGATTGGGACCGCGCAAATACCTCTTCCCCTTGTATTGAAAACATTGACATTTTTTGTTTAATTTCTTTTTTTGATTTAGCGATAGCGCGAGAGGGCGGTGCTGGAGAATTGTGATATGGGAGGATGAGGATGAGAATGAGGAAACGTTTGCGTTATTTCGAGCGGCACTGTTTCATTCGTTAGCGACGTTCCTATTCATTTTCATTATCGTGCGCGAATACATAAATGGAGAATATATTGTAATTTTTGTAAGAAGCGTGGCTCACACTTCTTACTTGCCACGCTATAAAGTACATTGTTTCTCCACTCGGTAATTATAATCCACATATTTATTTAAAATAGTATTTGTCGAGCATTTATGCGGCTTTCCAAGAATTCGAAATATGCCTGCATTCTCGTCATATTATACCTGCCTTATCAATTCTGTCTTTAAATATTGTTTACTTAATCGGTCGAAAGACGATTGGCGCACGTGATAAAAAATGTATGATTTTACCATTAGATTTGTAAGTGTTTATAATAATCGTATCGTATCAATATAATACAGGAGAATTAATTAAAATAAAGTGAGCGAGTGAGTGAAAATAAAAAAAGACAGGGGAGAATTATTCATGCTTTCTTGATTGTGCATTAATTCGAGGGTAATTGGAATATTCCCATTAATGTTCTCATTTTCGGCAATTTTCAGTCTAAAAATTGGGTATTCTAATGAAAAGCACAAGAACTTTATTATACGAAAATTATGAGTCTCGGCCACTGTTGCCCCTCGAGCTCCTCTAATGAAATTGCATTGTTATATAATTGAATGGCATTTATTGCTCGCGAATGATTTCGGCAAGTAGTGGCTTATCGAAAAACGGTTTGTAATGTAACACGTCCTCGGTACCATTGGGCTCGCTACCGTGCATCGAAAATGTTCAAATATCGCATAAAAACACAAGGGGGCATGCGAGGTGCGCGGAATGGCGTCCACACAGAGACGAGGCGAACAGAGAGAAATTACAACGAAGCTAATTGGCTTTCGTGTCGCGCCAAATCCCAAAGCGGTACGTACTGGCGACTCCTACTCGTTATTAATCGATGGAGTGAGCGAGAGCCATCGACGTGTCCACGCGGATACCGAGCAGCCGAATTTCAGGCTTGCGCTCACTCCCTATAGCCGTCGCGTCTGTCACGCTCGTTACCCTGGACCATCCGTCGTCCTTTTGTTCCTCATTTTGGAACTTTTCCGCGAAAGCGAGTCGG